TGCTTTAACCTTTAAACATATTGAATCAAACTAATCATCTTTCAAGGAATAGGGATGGTTGTGGGAGAACAAATGCTTATTATAAAGTGAAGACTTGTCTACCAAAAAAATAATGTTTGTTGATATTAAAACATTCTTTAGTTAGTAGATTTCGAAGAAACTCCATCTAATATAAGGTGAAAATTTGTCTAACATTAAATTTTGACCAAAAAAATTGAAACTAAGATGAACTAAAAAAAGGTCATTACCATTTCAAGATCTCGCTTAACCAAGCTTTTTTGAAAGATGATCCAGATAAAATCCTTCATTTTAGCAATTTTATGTGATGTCACCACTTTCACATTGACTTTGCTTTTTGCTTGGTTAAGCCACGGTAGCATACCCATTTTTGTCAATTTTAAATTAGGTTTCATTATTGATATTAAATTTTAGGTCCAAAAAATTAAAAGCCCAAAATTATGTTATTATTATTATTATTTGTTTTAGTTTTAGTTTTAATTTTATAATTCTTATTATTTTCTATCAAAGTAAAAAAAAATGATATTTTGTAAAAGGAAAACTTTGGATTTGGTTGTGGATTCAAGTGGAAGTGGGAAATTCAATGATTGATTGTTTATGGAAATACTTACCCCCAATTCATGCAAAAAGAAAAGATTGCAAAGAAAATAAGATCCCAAGTGAAATCCTAAATTCGGTAGGAATGGAATTTTTTTCAAATTGAAAGGGGTTTAATCCCTGTAAAAGGAACCCAATTTGTGATTATAGGACAAAAGCAGTACATAAGAAGCAATAGCAATTAGTAATATCAAGCAATTCAAAGCAATTAAAGTGTTAAATTTCTTGGGTTTTTGGTATCTAGTTCTGGGTATTTGCTAAAAAATGTTCTTGGTGTTCTTGAAATCGATTTTAGGGATTCAATTATTAGTGTTTTGTAAACTGCTTTGGGTTTTGATTTATAGGATCTTAGGGAATTTTGTCTAAATTTTTTGAATTTTTGAGTTTTTTGAGTTTTTGTTTAAATTTTTTAGTTTTTTTAGGTCTGAACTTGAATTTTTTTTATGGATTTTATGATGGCCAAAAGGGATTTTGCGATGGTTGGAATCTAAAATTTTGGCTAGTGTTTTTGAATTGTTTAGTTGGTTTAGAGAGAAATGAGAGAAAACCAATCTTAGAGAGAGTGAGTGAGTGAGAGTGAGAGAGGAAAAGGGTAATCTGAAGATAGAAAGTGGGATTTGGCTTTTATATTAAGGCCCAATCAACGTTATTTTGGAGAGTTGGGATCCGTGTGTAGACCTGAGGGGATCCGTGCACTAACTTGCCAAAACCTGACTCAATCACATGTTTGTTCTTTTCTTTTATCTTTATTTTGATTTTATTTTCTAGTTTTATTTTATTTTTTATTTTAATTGAGTGATTGAATTAAAGTGATGAGGAAAAGAAAAATAAAAAATTTGGTAAGATTTTTGTAGTTTATTTGCATGATGTTTTTATGAATTTAGTTTATTTACATGATATATATTTTTGCATGAATTTAATTTAATTACATGAGTAATATATATATATATATATATTTGCTTGGTGTTTACTTCAAAGATTTTTAATATGTTTTGCATGAGTTTGCATGATTTATTATTAAATATTTCCATGGTTTATTAAATATTTGCATGATATTTTTGCATGATTTATTATGATATTTTTGGTATGATTTTTGCATAATGCTTGTTTTATTATCTGTTAGCATGATATTTCTATTATGATTTTTGCATGATTTTTAATATGATTTAGTATATATTTGCATGATTTATTTTACATGTATTATTGCTTGATTATTTAATATTATTACATGATATTTTTGATAAAATTTTGTTTGACAATATTGTATAAATAAATAAAAGGAATTGAGATTTGATTTTGCATAAAATATTTAATAAATCTGATAATGAAGCCTTTTAAAAAAAACAACGAGTTTATCTTGAAATACTCTTAAGGTGATGGAAAAATTTTTTTTGACAACCTAAAGACTTTTTTTAATATTTTAAATACCGAAACCAATAAAAAACCATCTTTGATTAATGTTTAAATAAGATAGCATGGGATTAATTTGGCAATTTTGGGTGTAATGTGGTATTAAAACCTTCTCTGTACATAACCGACTCTTGAACTTAGTTTTGTTGATGTAAATCAGAATCTATTCTTTTTAGTGACCTTTAGTTTAAACTTAGGACAACTTTAAAATTGATAAATTCACATAGATAGCCAATCACACCTAGATAAAAAAAATTGGTGGCAACTCCATGATTTTAATGATTTTTTGTGTCTAATGAATAAGTTGTTAAACATGAACGTTATGACAGTTTAGCAACTCTATTGGGGATATTAGAGAGTCAAGCCATTAATTAGTTGTGTGTTATCTTAAACCTTTTTTTGATGGTTTTATTTATGATTTTTCATGTGCATTATACCTTTTATTTATTTTGTAGCCCATGATTTTTTATGTGCACTAATTTATTTATTTATTTTATAGATTTTGATTTGATGTGTACCTATTTATTTGATTATTTAGGTTGTCATGTCCCTTTACACACACCACACATCCATTCATATATAAACTCTAGACTAGAGCTTTGTCTTTTCTTAAGAGGGAGTAAATACCTACACTCATGAGATGATAACCTCCGTATGAGCTAGCAAAAACTTTCACTCAAATTAAACCATTTCCATTTGAGCTTATAATAGTGGGCAAGGAGTGGGATGCCTTACTAGTTTATAATAGATGATGATGTAAGAAACAATTTGAGAGCCTTTAAATTGTTAAACTTTTGAACTTTTCATGTAAATAAACCCAAAGAATCCAAACCTAGGTTAAAGCCTTGCCTTTTCCTTTGTTGGAAAATCCTTAAATAAGTCACATGAAGGGACATTTATTACTATTCTGCTTTTTAAATTGTATTTTTTTCCTTGTCTATATTTACTAACCCTTTTTGCCTTGTATGTTTATGCATTTGCATCATTAAATTTATAATAAGGAGTGATTACCACAAAACTATTTTAATAAAACAAATCTTAATTACATCCATGGAAAGCCTATCAAAGTCTTTTATTGGCTTAAAAATGAAGTTTGAGGAAACTTAACTTAAAAGAGGTGATTACTTGCCAATTGATTATGTGTCTATTTTCCTAGCCAGAATTCATCTCAATCTCAAAAATATTGATTTTAGTGACTTGGTTAGCATTTGGAAATAATGGGATATTAATGCCAAAGAAGCCATCCAAAAGAGGTTTGGGGAATTTGTATTACTTCTCTCAATCCTTGTTGATGATCAACTTATTGGGACTATGGTTCAATTTTGGGATCCTTTATACGATTACTTTATATGTAATAAAGTTGATATGGTGCCAACCATTAAAGAATACTCAACTCTGCTCCACTCAGACCTCTTAAATCCTGACAAGTTATATTAAAAGAATAAACAGACTGGTTATCGAAAAAAGCTTACTTAGTTGATGGTCATAGATGTTTCAAACTATTAATGCCTTGGTAAAGGAAAGGGTGAGGGTGTTATCATCCCTTGGCCCATTGTTCATGAATTTATATACAAGTATGTGGGTACCAAATAAGGAATAGATATGATTGGCTCTCTATAAGATGATGGTACTTTTGAAGGCCATAGGGTATATTGATGTTGTAGTAGTGGATTTCTTTGATAAGCTTGGTTACTAAATCAATCATATTCCTACAATTTGGTTGAAACTATCATATCTATGAATCATTGTTGCCAAAATGAAAAAAGGCATTTTACTAGATGTGCATAATTGTTAACAATTTAGATGAAAAGCCATATCGAAAATAATGGAGGAAAATTCCGCAAGCCATATTTTACTACAAATACTTTCATAAAAGAATTTTTGTGAGAAAGAATGGCCTACACAAAAGCCCAAAGGAATATGGATCTCATTTTTGCACAAGCTCACTAGCTAAGATGTGATATGGAAAGCCTTTTAGATCCCCTATGGACCAGTGTTATATGATTGTGAAGATAAGTTGTGGGTGCCTCTCTTAGGCTTTTAGGGTATAGTGAGTTATTCTCTAATCATGGAGCAAAGATGGTATAGGTATGAACAGTTTACCTTAGTCACTTTTGAACTTAGCAAAATGGAGTTCTCATAATGAAATTGATGCTTCCAAGAAAATAGCAAAGGTTGTGCAAGTATGGAAGTTGCTTCAAATGGAAGACAATAAGAGGTGTTCAAATGATGTCACCCTTGAATACTTTGTATGGCATATTAGGTGAGGAAAAGACATTGCACTCCCTAAAGAAACAACCCTAAATGGCCTAGTCAAATCACCACCTCTTGATCCCTTATTGATAGTTGAAACTACTAAAAGAAAGCTCTAAGGTGAAAATGATGAATTGGAGTTTGAAAACAAAAGGTTAACAAGCACTACTAGAAAACTAATTTTTACTGACAAAATTTTCTGTTGGTAATACTATTCTCGACGGAATTTAATGATCGAATCTTTCATTGATGATAGATAAGTCGATAATGCTATTCCGTTAATAATGTGTAAAATATGTTAGTAATTACTAACAAAATTTTTCGTCGGTAATAAGTCGATTGGTAACCCATCGATAAAAATATTGGCAATCCATATATATTATGTCGGTAAACCGTTGATAATCCATCGATATATTATTTTAATAATTTCTTTTTTCAAAGTTAATTGATAATTTACAAAAAATTTTATCGGTAATAATTATTATTTTCGTTAATAATATTTATTTTTCAATCATATTTAATTATATTTTATTTATAATTTTTTTCATTTTTTTAATTTTGTTTTTAAAGTAATTATATGAATATTAAAATGTATATAGAAAAAATAAATAAACAAAATACTCCATTGTATTTAGAAAAGAATATAATAATATTTTACAAAATTATTTATGAAGTCTAATTAAATAAAAATACATAAATACATAAATAATGAAATTCCCTATAATACATTAAGCCAAAGAATCAAATACCTCCATGAAAAAACATTTGATCTAAGTTATCATTAATCGAATTTGCCCCAAGAAATTTATGAACTTAGAATCTATTGATGCCCTTAAGAAATAAGAGCAATCATAACTCTATATGGCAGAAAGTACTTTACCTTCAAACAATAGACCAAATCCTCCTCGTCATCTAACGAAAGTGCAAGGTTTTCTAGAACAAGAGTGACGAAATACATGTTTTTCTACGAGATGTATAGGAAGCCTAATGAGGAATTCATGCACTTAATAAATAGAACAGAGATCATCCACCACGCCAAGTGATAGAGATACCAACCAGTGAAGAGCACTGCATAGAAATATTAGATGTATTGGACATAGGATATGGTGAAGACGACAGGACTTACCTTTGGTCCTGCATTATTCAGTAGAATCAAGGGCAATGTCTAAAACTAATAGATCCTTTAGACGACCACTAGACTTCACAACCATGGTCGTAGCTTTTCACGAGCCTCAAGCAAAAATGGTTGAAAGATGGTATATTAGAGAAAATAAATAGGCATAGTGATGACAGTTCTCTAATCAAATGTCACATACCTTAAGCAAGGCTTCTATGTTTATGTCTTCAACATGTTCAAGGACAAACCAAAGCAATTCCTGTTATGAATGTGTCTCTAATATATGATCAATTTTTTTTAAAAAAAATAAAACATTTGAAAGAAAATTGAAGATAAACTTACTAGAAATCCTGATGGCAAGCTAGCTACAGAATTTATTTGCACCCCAACCATGAAACCGTCACCTTGTAACACAGAGAAAGCTCTTGTCAAATGCTGACAATAATACTTTGTCCTGGCAATTTTACCTTATTTCTAATATTACCTCTGCTCTATAGCCCATGCAATTTGAAATAGCAGACTCAAGATCTGCACTATAATGAACCACTTATGCATAAATCTCAAATTATCAATACAACGCAAGAAACTTAATTTAGCATAAGAGATAGCAAATGAAACATAAACTCGTGCCTCAAAAGCAAAACAAGAATCTCTATGATAATAAGATAAAAGATTAGGTAAGGAACGTAGAACCAATGTGTGAATGATGTCTATTATAATGTCCAGTTCATGCAAAAAAGTGATGATGACAAATCAAGAGCATTATAATGAATACAACTATGAGGGTTTAAGCTGCAAACCTTTAAGGTTCTCCTATAAAGTCCAAGACCACGCAAAAGACCATCCTTCTGGTCTCTTCTAAAATTGGGTTCATAATGGATAGCACGATCATAACTTAAGAGGCCCTCATTTGTTATTCCATTCTCATTTAGAGACTTCTAGGAGATGCTAATGTCAAAGTCACTTTTAATATAATCGATCAATGCGTACAACAATTTGATCTGTTGCAAATGAAAGCTACTTAAGGATTGCACTTATATGATCATCATTCATGATAGCAAAAATTTTGTATAGAAAAGCTGACCACTCATAATCTCAAGTCAATTAATCCAATTTGTACCGTGGTTTCACATTTTAGTTTTTGTTCCATATGAGCTGCCTTGTAGCCATAAACCTCATCCACAATAAGATTGTGACAAGGTCCAATTCACCTGTATGTTTGGCTTGATCCATTAAAGCTGAGGCAAATATTAAACCTTAAAAAGGGAAATAGCAAGTCTTATTCCTTGAAAAACAATGTGCAATTAAACATAATTAACAAAACATAAAATAATATGCTTTCCACATCTTTCTTTCCATGCCTTCTTTTTACTACTCTTCCACTATCAGCAGTATAGTTATATGTCCAGCCAATGTCTTAGGCAACCTATAAGGCAAGATATCACAACTTGAACTAATTTTAATAAAACATGATCTTGTTTTCAATAGAGAGTCTAATAATGAAGAACCAGCTAACATTTTAAGCAACTTTCTTTTGGGAAGTATGGTTAAGGGATACCTACATTTGCTAGCAACTACAACAATTCAATTAGTACATTCGACGAACTTGGATAGGCTTGGCAACTAATTTGAACAGATTTGAAATATTTAATGAAATTGAAGGTAAGAAAAAAAATAAGGAAATTGTGTAAATTTAAATTTCCTAACACATTACATCTTGGATTTTGTACAGGCCCTACTGGTTCACATTCCAAAAAAAAAAAAAAAAACACTCAAAGCATCAAATTGGGCAACAAATGATCAGAACTAAAAAAGACAACATTAAATATGGACATAGATTATCTATACTTTCTAGGAGAGGAGAGACAACTCCAAGTGGCAAGGAATCTTATAACTATTTCCTTGTAGACTTGCAGAAGCTAAAGGAAAATTATCTTAATATTGCATATTACAAGGAAATTAAATTCCTAATAACTCTACAATATCATAAATGAGAAACAATATGATCAAAATGAAGTCTATAAATGAGAAACAGTACGACCAAAATGAAGTCTATGTCCCAGAATTTCACTAACCGATGCACAAAATTTAACAAAAAGTTGAACCCAACAAAAACTCAACAACTCTATAAAAAGAAAAAAAACCCCAACAAATCTATAACATAAATTTGAACATTAAATTCACAAATAAATAAAAAAAATTTCAACAAACTTTTTACCGATAGTGGAGAGGGGGATGACCGGTCGACCGACGACGATAGTGGGCTGATTGGGAGAGGGGGATTCCTAGTGGAAAAAGGAAGTGAGGGAGAAGAGTGAGAGAGAGAGAGAGAGAGGGGGAAGATTTTAAGGGGAAATTGGGGATTCCTAAATCTAGGAATGGGGGTTTAAATTTTATGATATTTTTTGACGAATTATAGATTAAAATTCCATCGATAATTGGCAACCATAAAATTTTTTTTTCAAAAATTATTTTTATTGATGAAAAATTTCATTGGTAATTTATGTAGTAACTCACATTATATTTTTACCTATGGATTAAAGATAAAATTAAATCCATTGGTAAATTTCATCGGTAATCCATGGATGACAACCGAATTTTTTTTACAATTATATTCTGTTAGTATTCCTTTGATAATTATCGACGAAAAAATTTCATCAGTAATAAAGACATTTCTAGTATTGACAGGAACTAGAATGAAGGATAGATAAAAAGATTCAAGCATTTAGACAAGAAAGGAATGCATGAAAGAGTCTGTTTTATGACCTTAACATAACACAATCATCTATCACTTGTGAATTGGCTTTACATCTAAAATAAAATGGGCAATTGCAAGCAAAGGTGCAAGAAGGTGAAGAGGCATTCCCTAAGACACAAAAGTATATCCACATGTTAACTGGGTTGTTGTTGAAATTGAAACACAAATGGGGTTTGTTATTGAGGAATGTGAGCAAGCAAATGAGACATATGTGAGAAAACATGATCAGTTGGAATGCTGTTTGACCAAATCACCATGGCTATTTACAAAGCCAAGGACATGATAGAAAAAGTCAACAAATGGAAGACAAGGATGCCACTAGTTGGAACACATGGCCAAGAATTGCTATGTAATATTGCATTTGGTTAAAAATAAAGATCTTTTGTTAACAATTGTTATATGGTAAATTCTCCTCATTGCATTTATGCATTCATGCATTCATACATTATTAGGATGGTTAAATAAATATCTTTCTAAATTCGCATGATAATAAGTCGTCTTAATTTTAAAAATTATGGTAAATCAAAGTTCAAGATAGCTCAATCTTCAAACAATTTGAGGTGCTGCAACACTCAATACCAAGTTAGGATCATGGAGGAAGAACATACTCTTCACTTACAAAAAGTAAAAAGGTACAAGAGGTATTGAAGGGGCAATTAGAAGCTATTACTGAATTAATGAAAAACATGAACAAAGGGAAGAAAGTTGTGGAAGAAATTATGGTAAAAAATGAGACTGATCCATTATAACTTTCTAGTTTTGGCCCGTACTCAGCACATGCATCTCAAAGGGTCCAATATCAAATGACATTTACTGCAAGTTAACCCTACATATATACTGATATGCCCACAACTATTGCTCATATTCTTGCTATTAAGACATCTAACCAAACTTAAGTTCCTAATTTGGATGATCCAAAAGAGTAAGAGAAGCTAAAGGTAGGCCCTATAGAAGCCAAATAAAGTTTTGGATCTTAGAAAATGGATCTCATTAAAGAAAGGTTTAGAGTAATTGAAAGGATAGATTTTTATGGATAAATGGATGCTTCTGGACTATTCCTAGTTCCTAATGTGGTGATCTTACCAAGGTTCAAGGTCACTAAATTTGAAAAATACGATGGAACCAAATGCCCCATCGTACATGTGACAATGTACTTTCGCAAAATGGTACTTGTTAACATGAATTTGTTGATTTATTGAAGATATCTTTAGGAAACCATTCTGAAATAGTATATTATGTTTTTTTTTATCTCACCTTGGTATTTATTTTGTTTATTTTTTCAGATCATGGTATTTAATGAAACGACTTAATCTTACTTGAAATGATTCATTGTGCATGAAAACTATCAACAATAGAAGATGGTAGTGACCAAGATGTGAAAAATCTTTCATCAAATGGTAGAGTTTCAAATCTATACAGTCATCAATTTCATACATTTTAAATTTTTAGTTAATGTACTAAAATAATTTGAATGTTATTGCATGTATTAAACTTTATGTTCCATTTATATTGAAACAAATTATATATTTATAATATTTAGTTTATGAATTTAAATTTATTTTTATTTCTTTTAATATTTTTTATTTAATGATAATAATCAATGTTAAAAGAAATTTTTTAAAAAATAAAATTTTTAATTTAATGACGTTTGTACCTAAAAATGCCTCTAAATGCTAAACTGTAACGATACTTTTTACTATAAATGCTACTAAATTTAGTGATATTTTATATTATAAATACCTCTAAATTTAGCAGTATTTTATGATAAAAATGTCACTAAGTTAACGGCGTTTGTCAAAAACACCACTAATCCTATAGTGACGTTTATAAACATCACTAAATGTGAAAAAAAAAAAAAAAAAAAAAAAACCTCTACTAAAAACCTAATCCCCTATAGTGATATATTATTATCTTTTGTTTCAAGAGTTATTTCTTTTTATATAAAATAAAAGGATTAAATGAAAAGAAGATTATTTCATTTCACGGTTAAGGCATATAATATATTTTATTGATAACTTATATTAAATTTATAACTTATTTATTAAAAAATGTTGGCAATAAAAAATGAATTTAAACATTATAAATGAATTATTTTATTTTTACTAACTTGTCCAACTCAATTAGTGAATTATTATTATTTTATATAATATTAATTAATATAATTATAACATTACCAAACTTCATTTAATTAAATCCATCAATTAAATGGGTTTTGAGTTGTAGCCTAAGATGTTGCCAAAAGTTTGTATTATCTCTATCAATAATTAAAAAAATAAAAAATATTAAAAAATTAAAAAACATTGAACTAACAGGTGATTGATTTAATCAATTAAGGCTTGTTTTTCTATACGAAGAGGTCTTGAGTTTGAGTTATATCAATGATCACTTATTGGGGTCATCTCGAATGTAGTATCTGTAATTACTTATCTTAAATTATCAGATATAATAAGTTATCACTTATTAAGATCATTTCAAATGTAAAACTTATAATTATCTATTTTAAATTATCAGATATATTACATTTTATCTTGATTTAAAAAATTGAATAACATACTTATCTTAAATTTTTTCTTACCAAAAAATAATAAAAAATAAAAAATCATCAATGAAATGGACCTCTTCCAGCCGCATCCAAGCTCACGAGTAGTAAAGCTTAGCCCAGCGTCGCATAACCATTGATGTGGACTTTTTGTATCAATCTATTTTTTTAATTTTTCTGATTTTTTTAAGCCAAAAGAATATTTAAAAACAAAAAACTCTTAATAAACTAATTATCTATCTATCTATAATAAAAATGCTGGGTGAACTGTGCAGCCACATGTCAGCTTCTCTTTTTTTGTTTTTTTCCTTTTCTTTTCTTTTTTTTTGCTTTATTTAGTTATTTTTTTTATATCTTATTATTAAATTAATTTTAATTTCTTTCAAGTAAAACTCATTACTTTTTAAGCGGGTCCTTTTTCTTTTTTTTCCTTTCTATTTTTTGCTATTTATATTTTATTTTCTTAATTTTTTAAATATAACATATTATAAATTTTTTTAAAATGGGGCCCAGTAATTTTTTTAATGGTGTGACCCATTTTTCTCTCTATTAGTTTTTTATCATTTGTTTTTTATATTTTATTTTCAAACTTTTCATATATTTATTATTAAAAATTTTTTTATGAGACTCATTTTTTATAGGTGTTTTTTAATTTGTTTGTTTAATTTTTAATTTTTATATATTTAATGCTTCTTATTTTAATAGGAATTATGTTTTGCATAGATCCAATTTTTTGTTTTGTATTTTTTAGTAAAACCCATTATTTTTTAGAGGTTTTTAGTTTTTTTTATATATTTTATGTTTTTCCTTAAACGGAGCTCAACATTTTTTATATACTCACTTTTTTGAGTTTTTTTTTTTCAAAATTTTTTATAATTCATAATTTTTTTTAATATGAGAACCACATTTTTTTGGACTCATTTTTATTTTTGTTCTTTTTAAAATTTTCTGTTTGGTGTTGTGTATTTTTTAAAATTTTGGTTTATTTAATATTTAATAATTTTTTAATTTTTTGTTTAGACTTGTTACCAATTTTTATCTTCTTTGTCTTTTTAAAAAATTTAATTAATTTTTTATATAATATTTTTTAGACACACTTGATAGTAAAGGTATACCACCTTTTTTTGTTTTATTTTTTTATTTTCTATTTTCTATTTATATATTTAATAAATAATTTTTTAGATTTCATTTTTTAATAACTTACTTGATATTAAAGATATTTTATGTGTCGAGTAATTTGATTTTTTTTTCACTTTTGTTTTTTAATCTTTTTTCTTGTTTACAGTTTGTTCTTTTATATTTAATAAATATTTTAAATATTTTAAATATTGTTAATATGGGGTCCCTTTGATATAATTAATAAACATATTTTTTAGTTGTTTTTCTTTTTTTAATTTGATAATTTTTTAAAATATGTATTAATGAAGGTATTAACATCGCATTTGAATTTGATCTTTTTTTTGTTTATTCTTTTTTAGTCTTTTTTTTTAAATTTAGTATATAAATTTTTCAAAAAAAAAAAAACATTATTGATGTTATATGCCAACTCAATTTTATTTCTTTTTTATTTTTAAAATATTTTTTAGGTTTTATTTACCTTTCTTTTTTCTTTTTATATTTAATAAATATTTGTAATATTTTTATTTTTTGTTATGTGTAAGGCCAATTTTATATTATTGATTAAAAATATCTTTTTTTTTTTGTAATTAGATAATTTTGTTAAAAACATATCAATGAAGGTGTCATGTAGCATTTAGATTTCATATTTTCTTTTCGGGTTTTGTTTAGTTTTATGGTGTAAGGAAAAAGATGTTATTAACCAATAATATTAAATTAACTTTGCAAAAAACAAATTAAATATGAAAAGAGAAAAAGAGAAAAAAGTAAATTAAGATAAAAAATATTTTAAATCTATGATATAAATTTTGCATAAAAAGCTTATTGTTACAATATCGTGTGGCAACTGAACTTTCTCCTTTAAATTTCTTTTGCTTCTAAAAATTTTTTGTTTTTCCTTTAATTCTTTTGTCTTTTTAATTAAATTATTTTTTACAAAAAAAAAATCAAATTATATGTTTAGGTGGTATTTTAATTGGTTTTTTTTTTTTACATTTTTTGTTTTCTCGTTTTTCTTAGTCTGATAATTGAGAAGAAATGCAATCCTTAAATTAATTATTTAAAAAAAAATGTTAATAGATGTTTGGATGTTTTAACATGTCAAGGCATGAATTCTGAGGTGCTACGTGGCAAAAAAAGTTAATGCCAAATAAAAGCGAAAGAAAAAAAAATTCAAACGGAATATCGCGTGAACATATCCATATTTTTTATAAAATTATTTTTATTAAAAAGATAAAAAATAAAAAAAATTATTATACGATTATGACATATAATTTTAATAAAAAAATATATCAACATAAATTATAATATATAATTTTTGTATAAAACATAATAAAAATATGTAAATTCTCTTTATTTTATATAAAATAAATACATCAATTATCAAATCAATTTGCGACAACACACGAGCACCTTTTTTGTATTAATTAATATTACAATTTAATTAATTATATGATTTTTGCACTATATCTTTTTCTTTTAGTTTTTAAAAATTAGAATAAATTACAAAAAACCGACTTTGTGATTTGAATCAAATTTGTTTTTAAGATTTTACTAGTAACACTTTATAATACAAGGCAAAAAATAAAAATAAAAATATTGAAATTTTAATTTTAATTTTAAAATTAAAAATTTTTGAAAATAGTCTGTTAACAACGAGTACATAAACAAATTAGGTTAAATCTTAACTTTTTAAAAACTGACACTTAATAATTTATTTTGTTGTTTTATTGAAGCCATTAATACGTTAACTTCCTTCAATAATTTTTTTTACCAAGTGTTCAAATATGTATTTAAAAAAAAAAAAAAAACTTTTTTCTCTCCCAAAACCCACTGCCATATTTCTGTCTCTCCATTCCTTCGTACAAGCCATTCATTTTTTTAGCCGAGTTCCGCTTGGCAACTTTTGATGAGTAGCAATCATATTGCAAGTATAAAATATCCAGCGACAAAGCATGTAAAACTTTCTTTATCACTCAAATACTAGATAAAATAACAAGCAATAATATAGTACTCAAATGACCAAAACACTAAAAATACATAGGCAGGTCTCATCATTAGGATCCCATTACAGTATTCAGCTTATCTCCACTGTTTGAGATTGATCAACAAAGCACAATGGTTTAAATAAAACTATTATAACAAGATATCAAACTCAACTCGCTGTACTTACTGAAATAATTACAATTTAACTACTACCATTATGTCCAATATAAGTCACACTGCAAAAATTAAACTCGTTGTAGATTATTAAAAAAAATGCAAAAATAAAGAAATGGGAATCGTTTGCGAAACAATTAGCATGTTAATTTTTGAGACCTGCAACAATCGGACCAATGTGCCTAACTTACCTCACCCGTGGTGCGTTCTGATAGGCAGTACCTGCTTCATGCTTTGGAGCAAGTGAGGATCGACGGTGCAATGGCTGCTGGCCATGTCTGCGAGTTGTGTGACGAGCAGAACGATTTCTAGGCTCTGCTGGCTTTTCATTGGTTGACTCAATCAGTTCTAAAGTCTCTACAACTTCTTTCATTGATGGACGGTTCTTAGGTTCAGGAGCAAGACATTTTAAAGCAAGCTGGCCTATTCGGAATGCAGCCTTGGAAGGATATTTGCCATCCAATCCACGGTCCATTATGTTCTTCAATTTTCTTCTCTCAGATAAATATGGCTTCACCCAGTCCACCAGATTATGTTGCCCACTTGGGCGGTTCGGATCAAGTGCTCGCAAGCCTGTTAGTATTTCAACTAAAACAACACCAAAACCGTACACATCGCTCTTTACATATAAATGTCCTGTTTAATCAGCAAAGTATCCAAAGTCATGAGAAGTGCAAAGTGGATTTTGCTCAATTATCTTAAAAATGCAATGGTACGGTGCAAAGCAAGGACATCACTTATAAGCACCCAAAATTTGAAAGGATTCAGAGGATTACCTGTAGCAACATATTCTGGAGCTGCATAACCATATGTACCCATGACCCTTGTTGTTACATGTGATCGGCTAGCAGAAGGACCCAACTTGGCCAACCCAAAATCTGATATCTTGGCTGTATAGGACTGCAATGGAACCAATAGCCAAACCAAATTAAATTTATGTTTCCTTTCTATGTTTTCAAGGAGAATGTTCGATGTCATCATTTATTTAAGCCTTTAGTCCCAAAGAATTATTTAATTATTTATAATACCATCCCTTAAAGAACTCCCCGTGGTATAATTCATGAGTTTTATGGAAAGTTACCCCATCAAGCAGTATATTTGAGGCTTTGAAATCTCTGTAAATTACTTGCTTGTCTGATGTATGCAAGAAAGACAGGCCCTTTGCTGCTCCTATTGCAATTTTAAGCCGTACATTCCATTCAAGTGATTGAACAGTAGAACCCCCTGCATAAAAAAAACCATGTAGAGTGTGATGGACAAAGTTAACTCGCTAGAAATAGGAGATGGAAAGTGTGCACAAATAAATATATGCTCACGTGAGTAATCAGAGATAAAAACAAATAATTTTTAAGCTCTTACTTCCAAATAGATGGTTTTCCAAGCTGCCCTTCTGCATAAACTCATAAACAAGAAGAAGCTCTTGATCCTCCCAACAGTATCCCAGCAGCCTTACAAGGTTAGGATGAGACACCCTTCCTAAGAAATTTACCTCTGACTGCACCAATAAATGAAGAAGCAAAAGCCTTAACAACCAGGAATTTTTTCATTTTAAAATTCAAAGAAAATCAGTAAAACAAGCACTAAACAATTCCCAGAATGCAGGTGTGGATATGTCAGCTGTGGATGTACATCACAGAGAGAGACTTTGAAGTTCATTAACAATTAAAAGCACCAATTCAAGATGACATGGAACAATATATTATGATGTTATATGATATATCACATTTGTAAAACTCTTCAAGCTACAAATTTTCTTTGGAAGCTTCAGTAGGGCACCATACTGGTTATCTCACCATTTCAAACCCAGAAAACATTCCTAATCATGTCTCTGGCCATTCACACACAGATAAGAGGAACAAAATCCACAATGTAACTCTTACAATCTTACTTTTTATAATATTAAAATAGATATCTTTCAGTCTTCAAACATTGTTCCAAAAATAGCAATGTAAAGAATAATAATATGACTTTGCATTCAAAAGTTATTCACTTTTCAGCCCTCTTTCATTTGCAGAAATGAGCTCTGAACTCTCAGGACTTCATTTGTTTTGCAATTAGAAGAATACTTTTTCATTTGGTTCTTTTAATCGGGTAACAATTGACTCTTAGATAAGTAAAAGTTTTACTTGAGGCATATGTGCTCATGAGAAGCTGATGTCTTATATCTGCATGAACATTTTATGTTTAGAAAAAACCCATAGAAATAATTAAAGAAGAAAAATCAAGTGAGAACTTCTCAAACCAACATTTAACTTTCTCAATAAGTTAATTCTTTCTCAAGATTAATGAAATCACCTGCCATTCCTCAAATCCTTGCAAGCTCTCAGAGTTCAGTTTTTTAACAGCAATGAGGGTTCCACTTCCACTCTTCCCTGGTGCCTTCTCATCAAGCCAACCTTTGAAGACTTTACCGAAACCTCCCTCTCCAAGCACCATGTCAGGCCTAAAATTCTTAGTTGCAGACTTCAGTTCTGCAAAACTGAAGATCTTTAGATTAGGGGTGGGCAAGATCTGCCCATTTGAAAAAGACATATCCCCACTTGAAGCTGAGAACCCGCTGTTCTGGGAGATGTTACTGCCCCTAGAAGTTGCAGAGTTGCTGGTTGTCTGAGATATCACTATTGCAATCACAGAATTGAAATGTGCTTAACAAAAGTTGATTGTGAATTTGTCAACAATATGGATTCTGATACTAGTAATACAGAAAATGAAATACAACAGTATATAATGATAAAAAAAAAAACCACAAAACCATACAAGAAATTCAACAGGATAACCATATGTCAAAAGTACACAAGTAAGTGGTCAAAATATCAAACCAGCACCAAGAACTGGGTTTTTGGTCATGAATAGAAATAAGTTAAGGATTGTTTTAAATAAATTTCAACTAATAATGAAAACTGAAAAATTAGGCAATCTAATTGCAAAACTCGGAAACAATCTTTGTTTTTCAAAAAAGAAAAAAAGAGATTAATATGGTTTGAAGGGTACCTGAACTGAGATGACCAGTGGTGCTTGGTGTTGGATTATCAGCTGGAGAACCCCAGCAAATTCCCATCTTGAAATATCTATTTTTCCTTTTTCCCTTCCCTTTATCCACTTGTTGAAGCATAAACAGACACAGAAATCAGCAAATTTTTTTGCAGAACACAGAATATCCGAACAAAAAAGAAATATCTATTAATAAGTTGATGATCAAAAACTTCAACTTTCTTGGCTTGATCAACCAATCTTTTTCTCAATTCAACCACAAAAAAAAAGGGTTACTATTGTTTTTCTTTGCTTTTTTGTTTTCAATTGACTTGAATTCTGTGTTTCTGTTTCCACTAACTGGCCAAGTCCCAGACTTGGGTTTTTGTAATTCAAGCAAATTCAGCAACTAAACTTGACAACAATGGAAATAATAATAAAAAATCTGCCAAAAGAAATCAAAGTGCATGTGCTATGGCAAACTGTACCACCAATTACTAAATAAAATAAGACTGAGTCTTTGGATTTTGGCAAAAAGAAATAGTGAAGGGAGATTGATTCTTCGCGGGTATTATAGACTGGGACGTTATCTTGAGTCAACTGCCGTGTCCTCCACAAAAGTCAGTCAAACAAAAAAGTCAATTCAAACCAAAAATATAAAACGAAAAAGAAAGGGTTAAATTTATTACTAACCAAATTTCAAGGACTTCCTTCTTTAAAAATAATTAATGACTTCACATTTATTTATTCTATGCTTTGTCAATGGTAGATTTAATAATTTAATAATTTATTTTTATTTAATATTTAATATATAAAATATGAAATAATATATATAAAATATAAAAATTATTATATTACAATTTATGTTAATATATTAAATATGTATTTTTTGTTTTTATTAAATTTATATATAATTTTTAATTAAACTTTTAAATTATATTGTATTTATATTTTTTAAAATTATTTTTATATTATATTTTCATTTCGTGTTTAACATTACATTTAAAATTATTAAAATTTTCAAATATAATAAAAAAAATCTAAGATCAAAATAATAAATTTTAAGTATACTAATTAATAAGTAATTTAAAAAAAAGTGTTACGTGGTTATCACTGCCTTAAATAAAATTGAATAAAAAAACATTAAAATTATTTAAAATTTGTTCATGGGCTCGTTTTACACGAGGTAATAAAATGGAGAATGATGTCACAAACTTTAGATATGATGAAATTATATCTCATGAGATATTGACATTCCTTTTTAGCATATTTTTTACTCATTTTTTTTTAACAATTTATTTTGCTCGTTCATAAAATGTGGTTTTTTTTTTTTTGTCTTTTTTTACTTTTTAAAAATAATATAAATTTTTTTTTCAATAGTATTCATTGTTTTTGTTTTTAATGTGAGCCCTTTTTTATTTTTTAAATATTTCATAAATTTTTTAAACATGTGATCCAATTTTTTACTTTTTCTAAGGGACCTATCTTTTTCTCTGTTGTTCCTAAACTTGTTTTCGGATTACATGTCTTTTTTTTATTTTTATTTTTAATATTTAATCTACTTAATATTAAAGTTAAGCTTAAGAGTTTAATTGATTGAGTTTGAGCTGATATAAAATTATATTTGAAATTTAATTTAAATTTAATCAAATTTTTTTAATTCGAGTTCGATTCAAAATAAAAATTGAGTTATTCGAATTTGATGAACTAGACTCAATTAACATGTAAAAATAAGTTTGATTTTTATATAATAAATAAAAATTTAATTATTTATGTTTGAGCTCAAGTTTAAGATATTTTATTAATTAAAATATAAAAAATCGATTAAGCTCATGAACTATTTGAGTCGAATACAAAAATATTTGAACTTAACTTGATTGATAAATCGAGCTACTCGAACTCAACTTGAGAATAATTAAATTAAATTTGAGTTTTATTTAAGTCAAACTCAAATAACTTGTAGATATTAATATATCATTTACATCACTAATTGTGTCACATTTTTTTTTCAATTTTTAAAGTTTAATTTTTGTTTTTTTTATATATTTAATAAATAATTTTATATTATTGTCTTAGTGATTCGTTTAATATCAAGGATACGCTATATGTCAACTTATTTTATTCTTTTTGCTTTTACTTTTTAATTTTTTTCCTGTTAAAAATTTTTCCTTTTTATTTAATAAAAATTTTAAATTTTTTAAAATTTTTTTCATTTGATATTATTATTAAACATATAATTTTTTTGTTACAACCCTTAGACGCTTAAGGCTACAGCCGTGGATTACGCTCGTGAGATCCCTCTATTTGACTAACATACCCCTCTTTTGACCTCCCCAATGTCACATTCGTACTTGATTTTTTCTTTTTCTTTTAAGGTTTTTTTTTTAAATTCCATGGTATAAATTTTCAAAAAAAAAAATATCATTCATGATGTTACATGCTAACTCTTTTTTTTTTTTTTTTTGTTTTGCTTTTCATCATTTATTTTTTTAAGTTGTTCTCTTCCTTTCTTTCTTTTTCTTTTTATATTTAATAAATATTTTTAATATTTTATTTTTTTGTTATGGATGGGGCAATTTTATATTATTGGTTAAATTCTTTTTACCTTTTAATGTAATTAGATAATTTTGTTAAAAACATATTAATGGAGTTATCAATTGGTTTGATTTTTTTTTATTAATTTTATGTTATCAAAAAAATGTATTAAAAATAATATTTTTAATCAATAATATCAAATTGGCCTAACAAAAAAATTACAATATAAACAAAAAATATTATGTATAAAAAAGGAAAAAAGAAAAACAAATAAAAATAAAAAATATATGATATAAATTTTTTGATGAATACTCATCTTTACCGATGTCACATGATAACTCAATTTTTTCTCTCTTTTTGGCCTTTTTCATCATTTTCTTATTTTTTTTAAATAGTTTTTCTTCTTTTTTAATTAGATAATTAAAAAAAGCCAACATGTGTACGTATGATATCTTATTTTTTATCTTTTAATTTTTTTAATTAGATAATTAACAACAAATGTAATTGATAAATTAATTTTTTTAAAAAAATTATTAATGGAGATATGGACAATAAAAAAAGTATTTGATGGATTTCAATTTGTCAAGATTTGATAGTTGTGTTCTTTTTTTATTTAGTCGAGTTTTCTTCACCAAAAAATCTAAATCAAGTTGAAGGCATGTTTATAGTGTTTCATCTTGGCTTAACTATATACATTATATTATATTTTAAATTATTTATGTAATTTTATTTATATATATGTATTATATAAATATAGTTATTATTTAATATCTTAATTTAATAAAAATATTTTATTTATATATAATTAAGATGTAATATATCCATCTATCTATTATATAAATTTGATTTATTTTAACTTTTGTTTAACCTTTATTCGAAGTCTCTATCTACTATCTTATGTTTTCTTTTTAGCTTTCCTTTAATTTTTTTTTTAAATTTTGATAAATAATGTGAAAAAACAATATCGGTGCCTATGTGATACCCTAATTAGCCTTTTTTTAAAAAAAATTAGATAAATTTTGTAACAAAAAAAGCCAATTGATAAGAATAACAAAACAATTTGTATCCGATGGATCCCTACTTAATTGGGATGTCCATATAGTATTCCAACGAGCTTTTTTTTTAATATTTTTCTCTTTTTATTTGTTTTTTTTCCTTTTTATTAAAAGTAATTTTGTAAGAAAAATATGAATGTGTCCACATGGCACCCTATTTAGGTTTTTTTTAAGTTTTTTTTATTTTTTAAATAGATAAATTTTGTAATGAAAGATACCAATATCTTTAAATAATTTGATCTTATGAATTTTAATTCATCTCAATCTAATAAGGGACAATTTTTTTTTAAATAGGGATTAAGTTATAGCATGTTGAGCTTTTTAAAGAAAACAAAATTAGGTCAAAAGCCTATTTATGATGTTTTGTTACGACCCATTTCGAGGGGTATATAAAGTATATATTTTATTATTTATTTAGATGTATATATGTATGTATGTATTATATTAATAAAGTAATTTTTTTACTTTAGTTTAAGAAATTTATATTTTAAACTTAATACGAGATGTCAATCCACACTCTCTCTTAGCTTTTTTTTTTTTCCTTTTTTACTCATTTTTATTTTTTTTATTTTTTTTCGTTTACCTTTTTTCTATTTTTTTTATTTTTTGTATTTATTTTTATATTAAATTTATGAGAAAATGAAGCCAATTAAAAAATCAACATTTCATTCATGTTTGTTTTTCTTTCCTTTCATTTTTTTAATTTGATAATTTTAAAAAAATAGTAAATAGACATGGCAAAACAAAAAAAAAATTTACATGCAACTAGACTAAGAAATTTAAAACATGACACGATTACATGATCTAAAAATAATACAAAAAAGTCGTGAAAGTGATATAGGTTAAAAGTTTTATAAAAACTATGTACGAGTTTAACAAAAATAAAAAAATATATTTCGTCTTACTATAAATTGTGATATAATTTTTGTATAAAATATATTATATAAACACTACAAGAAAATGGCATTTTAGTTGCAGATTTGTAACGGCCATTCACTTACAAATGACGCTAGTTTTCGTACTTTTATAAAATTTAAGGCATTTATTATCAAAATGTCACTAAATATTCAAATAGCAGCATTGTTACTTATAAATGTCACCCAAAACTTGTTATCAACGGCATTTCTCAACTAAAACACCTTGAATAATCTTGCCTTAAAAAATTTATTGAATACTAAAAGCATGTTTTTGGCAAACAATACCTTCAATAATCACTTAAAAAATTGTATGAGATTATTAAAGGCATTTTCTACAATAAACGCCTTTAATAATTGGACCAATATTTTCCACAGGCTTATTGAAGTCATTTTTGTTCAAAAACCCCTTTAATAAATATCATATCAAAATGTTTGGATCGTATGGATGTTAACTATAAGGTTATAGGTTTGATCTCTCCCTTTAGCTTTTTTTAAAATTTTGCAGAGATTATCTATAATTGATTATTGTTGGCATTTTCTTCAAAAAAAATGCCTTCACCAATTGTTTTAAAAATTTTTGCACAGATTATTGAATGTGTTTTTCATAGAGAAACGCCCTTAATAATCCATAGAAAAAATATGAGCCAATTTTTGAAAGCCGTTTTTAGCCGAACTTGCCTTCTATACTCCAATTAATAAATTTTTGTTGTGATTATTAAAGGCGATTTTGGTAAAAAATGTCATTAATAATCCATAAACAACAGTTTGAACGGATGGTTGAAGGTATTTTTTGGAGAAAAATGCCTTTAATATTTCAAACGATAAATTTTAATGGTCGAATTATTAAAGACGCTATATCCAAAAACGCTTTCAATAACATTTTGTTATGGATTATTCAAGGCGTTGCCCATAGGAAAACGCCATTTATAATTCATTCAATTAATTTTTAGTTGGTATTATTGAAGGCGTGTTTTTACCCAAAATACCTTTAATATTCCACTCAAATTTTGGTCGGATTATTGAAGGCGA